AAATATATTCCAAGTGTTAAGTGAAAAACAACACTCAGCCAGGTTATCTTTCATATGAGAAATAAAGACAAACATTCTCAGATAAACAAAACCTGAAAGAATTGACCAACACCAGATTAGCTCTCCAAGAAGTGCTGAAGGGAGTACTATACCAGGAACACTAAAGTCAGACACACAGAAATAGGAGTATAAGAGAATGGCCAGCCTAATGGTAGGGACAAGTCCAGAATTGAATGTTAACTCCAGAGTTTAAATGGACAGATCAGACCACAGTAACACTGCAAATTCAATAGAAGAGAGATTAATTACATGAATCTGAACTAGTGAAATATATATTTTTTTACTTTAAACTAAAACATTACTGACTTTCTTCAGTGCTTTGATATCCATATTTAAGGATTTTTGTCTTCTCTTGTATTGTTGATAGGTTCATCTACCTACTATTTGAACTGAATCCTAACCATTTTCCTGGCTTTAAGTTTTAAGCAAATTCTCTTAACATTTTCTTTTTTTAATTTTGATCTATTAAAACTAAAACTGTTTTTCTTAAAATGAAAAAATACCTATGAATACCTATTTAATGACTGCAATAAGCAATATAACCCCAGCGAGATGCTACTTTATAATGTGTTCACTTTACGCACTGAGGTTTATGCCTAAAGTCCAACATGCGTTCATGGATATGTATATATCAGCTGTGCTTGCTACTGAAAGTTTTTAAGTTAATTAAAATCTTTAATGAATCAATAAAATGTGGGGGAAAAAAGCACAGAAAACAGCTGTTCATACCAGAGACAGTGTGGGAAAAAGGGGAAATCGGCAGAGGGTGAGAGGTAAAAGGAAAAAAGGGCAGAAGGGGCAAGCAAAATATATAAGAAACAAGAAATAGAAAATTATGTGTTGATGATAACATGTATGGTAATATTCTTGATTGAGCCAATGTACAATGTATTCTGGATGGAAAATCTCATTTTTGTATACTGTACTGATGTATAGTGAGTGACTGTAAAAAAAATAAATAAAGGAAACCAGCAGTTAGCATAATGGCTATGTCGCTGGACTCCTACGTAGTCGACCGCAGGACCCGGACCCGGTGGTTTAAAACTCAGGCCGGGCACGTGTGCGTGCGTGCCCAAGATCCTGAGAAGAGAATGGAGGAGAAGGGATTGCGGCGTGACCATCCCCCCTGGGGGGTGATTTCTCACTTTCTGTCTCTATGTCTCTGTCTGTGTGTCTGGTGAGCACACGCGCCCTATAGCGAAAAACCTCTCCAAAAAAAAAAAAGTACCTGTGGCGTGAAAATAAATAAATAAATAAATAAATAAATAAATAAATAAAAGATTAGGATGCAGCTATAGTAATTATCTGATCCTGGAGAGAAACAATGTATATAAATTTGTTTCTGGAATAAAGTACAGGGTTTTTTTTTAACAATTATTATTTATTCATTTTAATTTGACCAGAGAGGGACAGAGACAGGTCAGAGAGGGGAAAGTGAGAAAGAAAGCCACCAGGTCCAGGACTTGAACCTTGGTCAGCCATGTGGGATTGTCCAGCATCTCAACCACTATGCCACCTGCTGGCCCCCAAAATTTTATCTAACTCTGGCTATATGATGCATTTAATGAGACAATAATTGTGACTCTGCTAAAAATGTGTGTACTGTGATGGTAATGAGAAACTTTTTCTCTTGAGGGTAAAGACAGCATTATAGAAAAGGTTTCAGGTAACAGTTGTCTAGAGCAAATGCATTTTGTGTGATTTTCAGTGACACAGTAATATTCTAACTTGGGAGCCAGTAGGTGCATGGTGGTAGAGGCACTGGACTCCCATATAACCAACTACAGTTTGAGTCCCAGACCTGGCAGCTTGCTTTTTCTGTCTCTCTGGTGAGTACATAGGGTGCATGTGCTTGCCAGAAAGACAGAGAGAGACAGAGAGACAGAAAGCAAGAAATCACCCCCCAGGGGGTATGGCCACGCCACAATCCCTTCTCCTTCATTCTCCTCTCGGGATCTTGGGCACACACGCACACACACCAGGCATGAGTTTAAGCCACCAGATCCAGGACTCAAACCACGGTCAACTACATGGGAGTCCAGCGACATAGCCATTATGCTAACTGCTGGTCCTCCCTATATCAAATTTTTAAAATGATAATAATAAGTAAATAATTCTTTTAAAAATTAGTGATACTCTAACCTGAATTTCAAGCTCACAACTCCTTTCTCCATTATTTTGACTTATAAGATGCATAAAATTCCACATTTTCCAGAATCTATTTACACATATCTCATTTTAATCTTTCACAAATCTTCCCTTATTACTAGTTTCACCTAGTTTAGATATTGGTAAATAGATAAGCATTTGTCCTGAAATTTGTAAAAACAGAGTTTCCATTCTACACTATTTTTAAGTTTGTTTTTAATTCATAATAGAGAGCATATGTACATGCATGCATAAAAGAGAGAGAAAAGCACCCTCCAATGGGACCTAGTCATACTGCAATTAAATAAATACTTCTTTATAAAACTGTTATAGAATTCACCAGTGAAGGTATCTGGTCCTGGGAGGTGTTTGATAACTAATTTCATTTCTTTACTTGTTTTATGTCTTTTCAGATATTTATTCTTTCTTTTTTTTTCTTTTTTTGGAGAGGTTTTTGCTATAGGGTGCGTGCACTCACCAGACAATGTGGAAGTCCAACAACGTAACTATTACATCATCTGTAGTCCCTGATTTTCTCTATTTTTAAAAGCTTTCAAAAAAAATAAAAATAAAAATAAAAATAAAAGCTTTCATTCATCGCTGCTCAAATTTATTTTCTTGCTTCTCCTAGGTTTTAATGTATTTTTTCTATTTCCTTAAAGGTGTAAAGTTAAGTTATTGATACACAATCTTTTTTCTTCAGCTTTATTGAAACATAATTGTATATAATTAGAGGCATACAATGTGATGTTTTCATATAAGGTATTACTACAGTCAAGCTAATTACTATATCTATCACCTTACATGGTTGTAGAGAGCAGCCCAATCTGAGCAAATACGATGACCTTTAGACACATGCAGAAACTGCAGATCCATGAACTTCATTTTCATAGCAATGAAACCAACTTGCACATGAATACACTAGATACCTGTTACTGCAGAGCATTATCTGTCTAAGGAAGCCACAGGTGTTTATTTTGTCCCAAAAGATCAGAGAAACTACATGTCACCAGTCATTTTCGCATCTTCAGATGATTTACATCCCAAAACAACTGACTTTGCATTCCATTTCATCTTCCCCCATTTTCTGCCCTTTAAAAGAATAATCCTGAGGCAGCTTTCTCCATCAGACACATCAGGCCCACCTGATCCTTGCTTTTCTATACTTACATGTCTTTGTGTGTTTATTTTTATGTTTATTTCTAATCCATAGCCACACACACTCAGAAAAAAACACATTCTGCCGTGCGAGTCCTGGCATACGGTTACTTTTGTGTTTGTGGTGTGTTGAGAATACTTAACATCTACTCCCTTAGCATATTTCAAGTATACAGTAGTACATTATTATTAACTGTAGTCACCATTACATTAGACCCTCCAGAACTACTCATCCTAAAAGTTCCTTTGTAGGGACCAGCAGATGGTGTAATGGTTACGTTGCTGGACTCCCACATAGTCAATCACAGTTCAAGTGCCAGACCCAGTGGTTTAAAACTCATGCTAGGCATGTGTACATGTGTGCCCAAAATCCTCAGAAGAGAATGGAGGAGAAGGCATGGCCATCCCCCATGGGTGGAGGGAGGGGGGGATTTCTCACTTTCTGTCTCTCTGTCTCTGTGGCAGGACCACGTGCCCTGTAACAAAACAAACACACACCCTGTACCTTCTCTTAAAAAAAAAAAAAAAACTGTGTTTGTATATTGACCAACACCTCCTCATTTCTTCCACCCAAGCTCTGATAACCAACCTTTACTCTGTTACTGTGTTTGCCTTTGTAGAACTTCGTATATGAGAAACATCATCCAATATTTGTGATTCTGGGGCTGGCTTATTTTGCTCAGCATCATGTCCTGGGTTCTCAGATCCAACTACCATTCCAAATCAAATGCTCACCTGAGATCTCAGTTTCCTGATGGCTGAGTAGCTTCAACATCACTTGCTAAGACAGTCCAATAGACTTGCAAAAATAGCTTTTGTCTTCAACCATTTCAACTTCTTAATGGAAAAACACACACACACACACACACACACACACACACACACACACAAAACCGCTTAGTTCCCAATATACGTGGACTACAAGTTTAAATTTTTACATTACCTTAAAATAGGCAGGCAGCAATTCTGCTCCACTGAACAGGAAATGGACATAAATACTAGGAAAACAGGAAACAAGGTACTCCAGGCGAAGCGTTAAACAAGAACCAGGCCCGGGCGCCCCGCCCCATGGGGCGGCCCCTTCACGCACGCGCAGTGACCCGTAGACCCGGAAGCAGATCGCAGGGACTGACGGTCGGACCACAGCGCCGGAGACCCAGGTTTAGCCCTGCGCTCCTACGTCTCCACACCTGGGCTCTGGGAATCGGTGCACGTGTAAAAGCCTACGCTCCAGCCCCCTTTCTCCAAGTAAGTTTTGTTCTTGCTTTTCGTTTGATTTGAAATCGCTCTGAGGCTGGTTCCTGCTCCTGTCCTGGCTGCCGTACAGTCGTGGAGACGTCTTTCCCTGGACACCTCCTTTCCCTCCGTTTTTTTTCCCCGC